AAATTTTGGGGCTGTGATTCAGTGTTTTGCTTGTAAAATTGGGATTTTTAACTAGCCAGTGAAATGGTAACGCGTGTCGCTTATATTTTATTTTCTAATAATCTATTTTGGTTATGCTAAATCATAGTATATTTCTTGACAATATTAAGAAAAAAATAGGATCTGATAAATTTTATTATCAGTCTTATTTTCAATCTAACCTACTTTACATGTTACATTTGGCTACATTGTCAAAAAACGAAAATTAACAATTTAATTCATTCATTTGAGAAATAAGATCATTCTCAATTCTAAACTTTGGACATTAGGTTTGTTAGATGGAGGAGAGTGACTATGAGCGATATTAAACAACTAAATATTATACACGTTGCGTGATGATGAAAAGTACAACGATATCACATAAGTTACTTCACTTTCTCTTTAGCTCCCCGTCCCTCAAACTGGTCAAAATTTTGCAATGTATTTTCATTAGTTGGAGGGTTGGCCAAATATCCACTTCTTGAAAAAGTAGGGAGGCGTAGAGTAATATTTGGATCATGCATTATTGAATTTAAAGAACTTAAGAAAGTAATTTCATCATCAAATAAAAGTCAGCAAATTTAAAGTAAGAGAGATTTTAATAGAAACTATTCCACAAACAAATGTATTGGTAGTCATTTGCTAAAATTTTATCTGTTAATTGTATGTGTGGATCGCGGTTATTTTAATCGTGGGCCCCATCCTTTTGTATGTGAGAGGATTGTACAGGTTGTTGTACAACTTGCTATATACATAGCACTCTTTCTCGAAAAATTAAAACAAATAGAGATGATAAGAGCAGTGATATGGGGTGTGAGAAACATTGTGCTTGTTTTTTAATATAAATTATGGTGTTCCTAATTCACAAAATATTTTCATTTAGAAAAGGAACCAACATGTACGGAAACTAAAAGCTTAGCATTCTAAAGGCCAAAATCAATTGTTTGAAGACTCAAGTGCCCCATGTATTAAACTTTTAGGAGTATGGCTGAAAATTTCCCGAGAATTTAAGCTAATCTGCAAATAGAATTTGCAGTAGCTATATTTACAATTTACATCTAGTTCAATCGCGTAACTATTTTTCAATTTTATTCAATTGAGTAATTGTACTTTAATTTATTTTTTATCATTGTAATTTCATTTTAATTTGATTTCAATCGTGTAACTACATTTTAATATGATTTTGATTAAGTAACTCTGTTCAATTCAGTTGATGAAAATTGATTACTTGATAATTAATAAAACAATTATCGCACAACATTTAACAGTGTTCTAAATGTGCGCATATGCTTCGCATATACTAGGCACATTTTTTATACGCTTTCTATATGGGGGTACAAGCATGATAATGGCAAAGGTTAACCCATTTTTATAATTTAAAAAAAAAAATTACGCACAAGAAATATCAAATTAGCCCAAATTATTCAAACCCACGAATTATATATAGTAAAATGCAGGGCTTTTGATGTTTGAAAAAATAAAAATTCAAAACAATTTTTTTGCTGAGTTGTAAACTACCCACACAGAGTTCGAGCCTCCTTTTTCTTCAATCTTCCTCTAGTTTTATTAGCAAGTGATGCTAGTAATGCACAATTTTGAATTGTCGATAATGATGATGAGGAGGATGGCAATGATATCTTACCATCTACAAGAGGTTGAAATAAGAGAGTCCAATGAAGATGATTTTGCATTGGAGGATATGGGAAGACAACTTAGATGAGAAAAAAGGAGGTTGAACTAGAATCCGATAAAGGGTTAGACATGATTTATAATTTTTTTTTTTAAGTCATTGTTCATACCTAATCTAATCGTAAAAATTGATTTCCATGAAATTATAATATTTATAATTTTGAGCAATAAGTTTTTGTTGAAAATTTGAAGAATTCCTATAAAGTTTCAAAAAATGCATTTTTTATTTATTTATTAATTAAAAATATTTATAATTATATTAAAATTTGAAACAATAATGCTAGGCGGACAGGGGCAAATGACCTGACAGGGATTTAAAGATTTTTGATGTGGCAACATTGTTTGAAACCGCCAAAAAAAAAAATTACAGAAAGTTAACACGTGAAGCCAAAGGGAGAAACCACCCATTTCGACACTCAATAAAGAGAAAATCCTCCCCTCCTAGCTCGGTCGCGCCTCATCATTTTCGGCCACACTTCGATCGCACCCATTTTCCCCAAATTATGCACTTTCCATCTCCACCATTTCGACACTTAGACGGGAGAACGCAGCAAAGGAAAATCAAACAAAAGGTAAAAATTTCTTCTATCGTTCAACAACAACAACTTCTTAGGTACTGTATTCATCACACTGTACAAAGATGTATCACTATGATTCAAAATAAGTGCCTGGTTCCTTTCTAGGTAGATTTGTGTTTCTATTTCCCTAGGTTGTACAAAAATTATATGGCATCTCAGAATTCTTTTACTAGTGTTTAATTGAAGATGGTTTCTAGTTCAAAGCATGCTTTTATGGTGGATGCAGATTGGTTACATTGTTTAAACGTCATTTGAACTTTTCTTTGAGTATAATTTGAGGGTTTTATGTACCCCTTCTTACCTTGAAGAAGCGGGAGAACCCAATAATGTCTTTTTCGCTAATCTTGTCCTTTGAATTTAGAGTTTAGATGTAAAACCAGAAGGTAAAAGAGAGAATATAAACTTTGATTCGTGATTTATTTACACATGACTGAATTGCTTTACTTGCGAATCAGAATAGTATAGCGTCATGTAGAGGTGGTGATCTGAATGGTAATTGAACTAGAAAAAAAATGGTTGAAATTGGCTTCAAAGTTTGATCAATTATGAAGGAAGATATTGAAGTTTTGTGCTTTTCGACAGCGCAAGAAACCCTCTCATCTATTTCTTTTTAATGTCTTCTAGGTAGGACAAGGAGTCAATTCGGCTATACACGCAGGATTGTAGAGGAGAGCTTTGTTCATCACGTCTAAGTTATGGTGCAGAACATCTCCTGGGGTTTAAAACGACTATTGTTTACCTAGATGTTTATTCTGCAAGTTAGAAGATAAGTTATAGATGTTTCTAACAGAGTGTGATTTTATGGTGAATGTAAGGTGCAATGAGTTGACTCCTGAAAGAGTTCGCCTAGCCTATTGAAGAAAAGAGGAATTTTGGAAGAACGAAATGAAATTCTCGTTTAATCAATATGATTATCAGTACAATGGTGAGCTTAAATAGAATTGGTTAACTGATTCTAACAATCAACTAACTAACTAACTTGACAACTGTACACAACTAATTTCTAGCTAAATTTGGCTCCTAAATCATCTTGAGCTGAGCTGGTTGTTCTGGTGGCTGATCTATTGAGCTGCCTGATGCTCATTTATTCTAATACAGCCCTCCAAAATACACTTCAAGAATTGAAACTTGACTACCTTGATCTCTATTTGGTGTTTTTCTTATACATATTTGTTTCCTTCAAATATGCTGTAAAGTTACATGTTAAAGTGTCACTTTCTCTATTTATATGTAAGATCCATTGGCCATTCCACTTGAAAGATGAAGCCAATAGACCTCCAAAAGTAGGGGACATTTTGGATTTCGACATGGAAGGAGTTTGGGAGGAAAATGGAGAAACTTGTGAATGACAATCTTGTTAGAGACATTGGAGTTTGCAATTTCACATTAAAGAAATTGCATAAGTTACTAAGTGTTGCTAAGATAAAGCCTTCTGTATGCCAAGTCTGAATTTTGGATTCTACGTGATTGTTTTTTAATTGCAATGGAAATCTCATATTATATATTTTATGTTGTTTTTTGTTTTTAGATGCAGATGCATTTGGGATGGAGGAATGACAAAATGGTGGAGGCCTGTAAGAAAAATGGAATCCATGTTACGATAATACATGTCCATACCATAGTTTTGGACATTGAGGAGTTATTTAGTTCGGAGTTAAGAAATATTATATTGATGATATGTCTTTTGCCTCCTGCAGAAACGGGTATTGAAAAAGCTAACAGTGATAGCTTGTTCACGAACAAGCGATAGGGATCTTACATGAATGTGGCTGATATTTGGGACCACAAAGATTATGATATCGATAGTCTATAGTAACTGAGCAGCTAGCAATGGTCAATCTTGAATGTTTATGCACTGTTTGATCTCTTAGGGCTTGTTTTATCAGTTTATGTATATTGTGTCATAATAGTACTTGTTCACATCTGCAATAGTTCGATCTCTTAGGTCTTGTTTTATCAATTTATGTATGTTCTTACTATCATAATGGTACTTATTCTCATCTGCAATAGAGTCTATTTGACATAGACAGTGCAGTCAATTATATATCCTACAAATTTTATTCCAATCCTTCTTTTTGTATCAAACAATTTAAAAGGAATAAACCATTATGAAATGCCAAACAAATTGTTTAAGATCTAGTAAAATTTAACTCTCTTTTCTAAAGCCAACTCCAATTGAAACATACATAGGGCTACAATTGCCCCAGGCTGAGGGATTGAAGAGGCCACCACCATTGATGGACTAAAACTCCTCTTGCTATATGGGAAGTATACAAATCCAAGCATTGCCCATATGTTTTATGGTACGTGCTGTCCCTCTCACTGGGGCAGCATTTCTGCCACCTATTGTAATGACATTTAAGAAAGATTTCATCGATCAAGCATATTGCTCCCATCTCGATCAACCTTGGAATCGGATCAAATTCAGTCCTTCAATGTCCATCTTCATTACCACATAGTCACTCTCTGACACTGTATTCTTCAACCATTCTGCGAAATCAAATCCTTGAATCTCACCCACATCACCAAAGGATGCAAAATCACGCAAAGACTGAGCTAGTCGAATCGTCCCAATCCCTCTGCCTTTTTCTGCATTTTTACGAACTGGGCCTTGAGAAAAACCCATATTAAGATACAATAAATCTAAGTTAAGCTAGTAACACATCGGCAAAAATACACATAAATTGAGATTTTTGGGTTATTTTACGGACATCAAGAATATTGGTAATGGCTTTTTACACACACTGTAGGAACTGCATGCTCTAGGTTTGTGAACTATACACTTTCACTATGGAGATTCAGTTGTTCAAACAATAATTTGTGTTTGTGGACCTGTAAATCTTTGCATATGTGATGAATACTGTACCTAAGAAGTTGCTGTTGTTGAACGACAGAAGAAATTTGCACCTTTTGTTTGATTTTCCTTTGCCGTGCTTTCCCGTCTAAGTGTCCAAATGGTGGAGATGGAAAGTGCGTAATTTGGGGCAAATGGGTGCGATCGAAGTGTGGCTGAAAATGTTGACGATCGATGTTGGAAGTGCTGCCCTCCGACTGAGGCGATAGCCGAGCTTGGATGGGAGGATTTTCTCCTTATTGAGTGTAAATGGGTGCTTTCTCCCTTTGGCTTCACGTGTTAACTTTCAATAATTTTTTTTATTTTTATTTTTTGGCGGTTTCAAACAATGTAGCCACGTCAAAAATTTTTAAGTCCTTGTCAATACCCTGTCCTTTGCCCCTGTCTGCCTAACATTATTGATTGAATCGAATCTTGGTCTTTAGTTGTTGATCTAGAATAAATTAATTCAAGATAAGAATTGAGTAGTGTTGATACACTAAAAGTGCAGCCCAAATCAAATAGCCCAAAGAGTGAAGTCCAATTGGAGAATTCAGGATAAAGGTCCAAACAGGATTATTAATGAATGCGGTGGAAGCCTACGAATACGGTAACATCATCGTCCAACCTTGCAAGACGCCCAGAATCTGAGCGAATGGAGTACCTTATGGTCGCCCAGAGCGATGACCCCATTCCCGCCCAAACCTTCGAATCGCCCAGGATCTTAGTAAGCATAAAACATTATGGTTATCTAGAATAGCAGTTATTGAGTGATCTTATCACATTCCACGATTCAAGGAGCCCAGTTGAAGACGGTTGAACGACAAAAAGTAATGACAACAGTTAGAGACGGCAGTTCCACGACAAGTTAGTCACCATAAAAAAAGTGAGTAGTTATATAGCAATCAAGCAGTTTTCAAGCGGTTTGTCACGAAGAAATCATCAAGGGAATATAAAAGGAAGAGAAGACATAGAGAAAAATGGATAAATCAAACACTCTCAAACAGAAAATATGTAATTTCGATTTCTTAGTTTAAACTTAAACAATTCTTTTAGTACTCGTGTGCTTGCGCTCCTTGGAGGCATTCTGTTTATTTCCAATTGTAAATCATCGTCAATAAAGCACCCCTTTTTGGGACTTTGTCTCAAGAGGTCTATTCCTTACACAATCGTCTAATCTCTTTTTAATTGTTAGCGACTACCCGCGCGAAACAAATTTGGCACGCCCAGTGGGACCTTGGTATTTGGTGTTGAAGATACAAAAGGTGAAACAATATGCCTCACAAGTCTGATAAGGAAACAGCAAGTCAGGGAGGAGTCCAGTCTGTGATCAAGCGATATGAGGAACAGCAAAGCTCTCCACAAACAGAGGAACAAAGTCAGAGCAGTCACAGTCGTTATGAACCAATGATAGAGTTGAGTCCTCGAACCATGCGTGCATTGCTTGGAGAACTCACACAGGATGTCGTTAAACAGGTAAATCTATGAAATGTTCATAATATAGAAAGATTTACCCAGAATGAGAATACACATTATGACAACATGACCAAACAACTGAATACATTAAATGAAATAATGAATAAGTTAGTAGGCCAAATTTGTCAGCCAGTTGTGCCTATTGCAAATCACTTTCAAACTAGGACAATCGTGGGACATAATTTCCCAGTCCTAAGTCAAATCAGGGGATAGAACCACCTTTTGGTCCACCTACTTCAAACCAGGGGATGGTGTAATGTCAAATCAGAATAGTGGTAATGGTACATCTAACTTGGGGGGTAACTTAAATATAAGAGACAATGTCCTAAATAATGGACAGAATACCCCACGTGTCAATGATGGAATAAATATTCAGACTAATGGTAACAATGACCCAAATCATGGCAACTTTGTTGCCGACCAAGGGCCAAACATCAGGCCTTAGGCAAATCAACCGACCAACCAACCTGTAGGAATTCCATATGACCTAAACATCATGTTGAAAAATCAAATTATAGAAATAGTACATGATCAAATGGCTTTTGGGGTACGTCATGTCATTAGGCCGACTTACACAAAGTCATACCCTGATTTGGTAGACCAAGCATATCCATGGCCTAGAGGGTATAAAGTGCCAGAATTCTCATTATTTACTGGTTTAGGAGAGGTGTCTACTCTAGAACACATAGGGCGATTCACACTGCAAAGTGGTGAAGTAACCGACTACCATAAAATGAGGTTGTTCCCTAGTTCATTAATAGGAATAGCTTTCTCGTGGTTCATCAATTTGCCAGCGAACTCTGTTCAAACATGGCAACATTTGGAGCAGTTGTTCCATACTCAGTTTTATAAGACTGAGTCTAAAATTACTTTGGCCTATTTAGCGACTGTACGTCAAATGCCAAACGAATGGGCAAAAGGTTTCCTTCAAAGATTCAATATAGCAAGAAGTAAATGTTTTGTCCCTTTGCCCGAAGAGGAGTTTGTCAAAATCGCTCAAAATTGTCTAAGCTTTGATTAAAAAAAGAAATTTCAAGACAGAAAATTTCCTGTTCTTTTCCAATTGAGCGCAAACGTAATTAGGTATGAACGATTAATAAGAGAAGAAGAGCAAATGAAAAATTCTAGCAAGGGAACTTATTATAGAGAACCAAATTTTGATGTTCATACCATTAATGACGAGTATTACGATCAAACCGAAATGTGTTTGGCCGAATTAATCAAAGGAGACGCATATACTTATCCTATAATGGCTAAGCCTAGATCGTCGGGCAACGTTCTCGTTCGATGTAACCAAAGCTGACCTTATATTTGATAAACTATATAAGAATAAGCAGATAAAGTTGAGCGATAAACATAAGTTGACAAGCCCTGAACAAATCAAGGGTAAAAAATATTGTAAGTGGCATAATGCATGGTCGCATTTGGACGCCATTGAATCAGGACGAATTATGTTCGAGGATAAGAAGATGATGGTAGTGGATGAAAACCCTTTTCCATAGCCACTTGGGATGAATATGGTGACGACTGGTTTCAAAAACAAGTTGCCAAAATTCAAGTTGGTTATAGATGACGGAGAAGAGGACCCTGGGCCACACCCCAGTGTCCTTGAACGTATCAAAGGGAAGGAGCCTAAAAATGATGAAGACGTCCTGTGTGCAAGATGTAAAAGAGAAATGAGTGCAAATACAGAGAAACCAGGGATATGGCAGCATCACCATCGCCCTAATTTTTTCCCAAACGCTCAGGGGACCGCCTTTTGAGAGGCAGTTTAGGTCAATAAATAATGGGAGAACATTCAGGTCGCAACCTCGCCAACCAAATATATGACATTCGTTCCAGTATAATGCAGGAAGGGTGATACCCTTCAATGAGATGACTAGAACCCAACAGAGGCGTTTTCAACGGAATTATGGACGAATGATAAGGCAACAACAGGGAGTGCCACGTCCTAAGGCGCCCAAACTACTCGAGGTGGCCAATCAAAATGTTTTCGAAGACAGCGAGGAGACTGGTACAGGTGAATCGATGGAAAAATTATCAGAGAGTTCTTCTGGGATATCGAAGTTTGAGCGAGGCGGAAAGGATGGAGAAGATCCAGATCAGCCCCTTACTATTCAGTTCGGTACATTACCTCCTGTCATGGCTAATAACTATTTACTAGCCAATGAGTTCAAGAACAAAGAGAAAGAAGAAGAAGAAAGGGAGGATAACGAGGAAGAAGCATGTGTGTTGGAATGTGAAGAAGGCCAAACTTCTAGAGGGGCCTACAATGGTGAAGAGGATGATGGTATGGCGGATATCGAATAGGAAATTGATCCGGAAGTAGAAAGAAGAAAGAGAGGAGTATCGCACAATACTCTGTTGAAGCAACTACATCGATAGAGAGTTTGTGAAGTGGACTTGTTGGGGGAGCCATCTGGGCGTTCTTTCGATTATTACGTGTTGTACGGGACGCCCAAGAGGAAAAAAGAGTACCTCGCTCTGAAAAGTATGGACCACCTCCAAGAATAATGTCTCCTCCCACATGTTAGGTAACCGAAGAAGAAGCATTAGAAAACAATAAAAAGGAAATTCAGAAAGCGAAAGCTCAGTGCAACATAATGCACGTTGACTTATCACAAAATGATAATTCAACAGAGAACAAGCAGGAAGTGGAAATAGATGTTGTCGAAAATGTTATTTTTAAGAGACCAGCCATGAAGTTAACTAAACACTTGAGACCATTGTACGTTTAGGCTTTAATTAACGGTATACCTGTGGCGAAAGTACTTATCGATAATGGAGCAGCTATAAACAACATTCCATCTAGGATGATGAGGAAATTTGCAAAGACAGAAAGTGATGTGATTCCAACAGAAGTCATCCTTACAAGTTTCAATGGAGGAGCAACTTCTGTTAAATGGGTTATGCCATTGGACATAACTGTAGGGACAACTACTAGGACCACAGTTTTCTTCGTAATAAATGGTCCTACTAGTTACAATGTGTTATTAGGAAGGGATTGGATACACGAAAGTCGCTGCATACCTTCATCGCTCCATCAATGCCAGGTTTTCTAGAATGACAAGGGTGAAGCATAAGTGGTGCAGGCAGATCATAGACCTTTTGTCGCAAAAGCAAACTCAATGAAAAGGTTCATATACGAAGGAAATTACGGATCTGTCAGAGTGGTCCAAGATGGAGAAGAAACTCAAATTGTTGCACAGAGCGAAGAGCCGTTTTCGATAGATGCACTCA